GTTAGCTTTTGGATGAACAATCTTTGGTTTTTCAAACTCAGATCCCTTCTTCATTTTGGAATCCTCTTTTTCAAAAAGAAATTGTTGATTCCTAGCTTCCACAGTGGCCGCCTCCGCCTTCGAACTATCTGACACTCCCATCAACAAATTCTCGGCTTTCTTAAATTTAAGCAGTAAAGCTCCCATGCCATCGAGAGCAGCTTCCATTTCATCCCTTTCAGCACACGCAATCCTTAGCTCCTTCCTCCCTTCTTTAAGCTCCACACGAAGTTTATTAATTGTAAATTTCAGTAATCCAATCTTGACTTCCCCTTCCCTTTGATTCTGCAAAAAGGCACGGATCACGTTTTTGTCCAAATCAAGCCCGAAAATCTCCTCCCAGGCTTCAATAATCAGTTGCTTCTTTTCCTTTGATTTCCGCATCCGAAGCGTCCTTGGCCTGAATCAGAGCACCGAGTCGAAAGATCAATCTCTCCAATTTCTCGTCAATGGAGCTGTTGGATTCTTCCTGCGCCTCAGTCGGCTTCTGCTCTCGTTCCTCCGCCTCGTCAATCGCTTTCTTTCTTCCCATTCTTTTTTCTTTTGAAGGGTTTCACTGTTCCGAAAATTAGGGTTTCGGAGAAGCTGCAGAAAGGGACTTCTATTGGAAAATTTAAGAAAGAAGACGGTCAAGATTAAGAATTTATTCATATTTTCTTAATTATTCCTATTAGGATTAGGAATTCCTTTTTTGACTAGGAATATGCAATTATCTAATAATATAATCTTTATAAAATAATTTAAAACGTTAACATCAACATAATTTACCATTTAAGATATCTTACTCCAAAAATTTTAATAACTCAAAAAAATTGAGAGTAAAATCATGCTTTTAGTCCCTAATATTAGGATTTTATCTGGGATTTTATTTGGCCTCTAAATTTCAAAATATCATAGAGAGTTCGTACCATTTTTAAGATGATTATAAATAGTCGACTAAATTGATAGTTTTTTAACATATGTGGCACGTTTTTTAATTTTAAGGTAAAAAAATAAATTTGGTCTCTGTAATTTTGTTGAAGTAAACCCTTAATCCATGAACATTAGATCGGAACAGTTTAGACCTCATACTAGCTTTCAAATTAGTAATACCTTAATCTTTGGATTTATCCTGTAACAAATTAGTCCCTATAATTTATAATTTGTAATAATTTAATCTCTATTAATGTTAGGAAAATTAAGGAACAACTAAGATGATAAAAATTAGGAATTTATTTATGCTTTCTTATTTACTCCTGTTAAGATGGGGAAGATTATGGAGAATTGAGTGCAACTAAATTTGAACCTGCTCTTTAAATTCATGTCACGTCCAATTGCTTAGAGGAATAGATTTTACTATTGGTCATGCAACTTAGAAGAATAAATTTTATTGATGGACGAGTTAAATTGAACCAAATCGAGAATTACTCAGAAAAGAGACCATTTGGTAAATTGAGTCAATATTATATTATAAGAAAAAAATAATCTTTTAGACTATAAATTTTGAATTTAGTTTTCATCTGGTCTCTAAAGATTACTTAGAGGTTTAAGTCATACCCCTTATCCAACGTTGATTGCGACCATTTAAAATGAAATTGTATTATTTTGTGTTGAATGTTGACGAGGATCATTTAAAATTAATTTTATATTATTTTAGAGAGAGCAAGTTACAATATTTCCTTTGCAATTCACCAAAAAGAAAAAATTAATATAAAATTGAATATTTTTAACTGGTCTACATAAAAAGGCTGAGGGCAGGATCTTACTATTTTGCCTTTTTTTATTTTTCATTAATTTATTACAATTGTTTTTTTCATTTATTGTTTTCCTTAAATTAAGTCATATGACATTTATTTCATTAATTCAAAATGTATTCTATACTTTTATGATTTAGAGTATAAAATTTGTCTCCCTGCATGATTTTTTTTTAATTTAAATATTCGATAAGGAGTTCTTTTAAAAACTAATTTCAAAGGAGTACCTTTGCTTTAAAATAAAGTAGGGAAACAAAAGTATTGATTTAAAATGATTTTAGGAGTGTACTTTGAAACTTATACTTCATTAAAAAGTGATAAATAATAAAATAATTTTGTGTATATATATATATATATCAATAAATTTAATTTTAGTTTTGAACTAATTAGAAATAGGATAAATTGCAGAAACTAACTCTTAGCTAGCTAATTTATTACTAATGCACACAAATTTTTTATAAGAAACAATAAACTCTTTAGTGAAAAAGCCTATAAGAATTGAGAAATGCAAATGTTGTCAACTTTGCCAAGATCCGAGGATTTCTCTTCTTTCTAAATAGGAAGAATAACATAGTCATAATAGATCAAGTCGGTACTTAATAATCTTTTCTTCCGCACTTTGGGAAGGACATAAATATAACTAAACAGTTGCACCTTAATTAGCTAGGATATTTTCTTGGTGTCACTACTCTTTGACGCCAAATAGGGTGATGTTTCAACCCTAATATTAGTGATAATATTAAAATAGCATTGAAAAAATATTGATGTCAAGAGTAGTCTCAATCTGCCATGAACAATATATCGACTTGCCCTTTTGCATGGGTAGAAACAAAATTAACAATCTTAAAGCTAAGTTCATTTTAAGAGAGAGTACACTTTCTTAATAAGTTTCTGAAAGAAAACTATATTTTCTTGAATTGTATCAAAGTAAAATTGGTTGTCATCTATTGAAAATGGGAGAAGGAAAATTCCCATTATCACAATAACATGGATTTCTATGAATTACTGCCACTATAGTTGAACCAATCACCAAATATTTAAAAAAAAAATGTCTCATCAAATAAAATGATGACGTGGCTATACTTGTATTAATTTAAAAATGAACATTACAAATTTTTCAATACCACAATAGTAGTTATATGGAAATTTCTCTGGAGTGAACACCTTCCCTCTCGACAATATAATTGCTCTGTTACTTGAACACAATTTCAAAGAAGCACGAATAACTCAATTTGGGTAATGTGTCCGTCAAATACGTGTTGGACACGCCAACATTTATGGAACACATGGAATACTTGTTAGCTCAATAGATGTGTGTCACACTGATTATACAGAGTCAAATACATTCTAACACTTGTTAGAAGCATAAGACATAGACATGTATAGTAATCAATAATAAAAATGATATATACTTTCAAAAAATGTGCCCGTATCCTATATTTTTAGAAAATAGCATATCACCATGTCAGTATCGTGTCATATCTATGTCTCGTGTCCGTGCTTCTTAGCATCATTGAAGATCAGCAAGAATGAATCAGATCTCAAATACAACAATGTATGTAATAAACTTCCAAGCACCTCTGACAATTTCCATCACTAAACTCAACAACATACCAATATCTAAAGTTACCCAAGTTCCATATAAAGATCATGTCAAAGTCCTAAAAAAATTGCGGAAAGCTTAAAAACGGGAAAGAAAGGTTAGCGGTAAGAGTAAGATGGACCAGCAAAAGAGTAGCGAGATGTAACTGGAATCACATCAAGTTCCCGTTTTTCATGACGTCTCTGATCATAATATGACAGAGAATTGGCAACATGTCTTACAGGTTCCGTATCGACATCATAGTTTCTAGTTGGGTAAGTTAGATGGGCTCCTCCTCTCCTCAATGGAGGTAGATATGGGTCCACTGATGGAGCACCATATTCACGACTAAGATATGGATCGTATGCATAGCGTGATGTCCTTGGAGGTGACAGTTCGGGCCTACGATCATCAATACGGTGCACGGGATAATCTTCCCCATTTAAGTATACAGGATCCGCACGAACCATTCTTGTCGAGACTACATCCATGTACCTGGGCTCTGGATATCTATGATGGTAGTCTCTGTCATAATCCCTATGGTAAGGTTCTAAAGCATGGCGAGGCAGTGGATCCAAGTTCCTTCTCTCAGTTGGGAGACCATAAGTTTGATATTCCTTTTCGCTCCGGTATGTATCACGAGAAGTTATCTCCCTATGTCTCGATGCCTCAACTCGGCGTGAAACTTTCCGATCCTTTTCATGAGATAATCGATAATTCCTAGCATTGCCCTTGGAATTAGATTCCCTAGACCGAACATCTCTAACTCCCACATGAGCGTTCCTATCCCGAATATGTGCCCTTGGAGGGGACCGAAGAGCTGCTGCACTAGAGTGGAACTCAGCTGGCCGGAAAAGACGAGTGAGCTTCCTGACCTGAAATATGAAATGCTATAATGACATGACAAAAAATGTAGAAGCTCAGACGGACAAACAAGCAGAGGAAACCTATTATATCGACCTGTATATCAGAAAGTTGAGGTCTGAACTTGTTCTTTTCATAATAATTCTCTTTAATTGCTTTCTTAAAACTTCTCTCAGGTAGTGGGACACAATCCTTGAAGACCTTGAACCGCACCTGAAATTTCAATTTTGAGATTGAGAAGATACCTTAGCAGATGAAGAAAACAAGCTTCTAGAATTGTTTACAACTACTAACAAAAGATTAGAACCTGAGCAGGGAAAGCTCCATGAAAAGCTTTTGACTCAAGTTTCATGCCACCAGAAGAGGATGCTCTAAATATCCCATACAGAAGCTTGAGATCAATATCGTAGAGAAAGAGCTTTAACCCAGGTTTGATGGCCAAGACAACATCCCTTTTTCCAGCAGAAACACCCATTACACGATAGTAGAAACAATCTGACCTCGTCTTTTCATTGCACATGAAGATCAAACCACCAAGCTTCTTATTTTTCTTCTTCTTCCTTTGAACCTTTCCCAAATTATCATCTTCTTTGTTCTTTCGGCTCTTGCTCTTGTCTGAAGGACCACCCTTTTCCTCATTCTTTTGTTCCTGGCAGCCGTTTTCCAACTCAGAGATCCTTTTTTGCCCATTTTCAGTCTCTTCACTGTTCTCAGTTCGCCCTTCTCTTAAGACACAACTTTCAACATCCTCCTTTATGTTAAGCTGCTCAGCATCCCTTACCTTGTTTTCTTCACTTGCCCCAATTTCCGGCAATACACTCTTATTCTTCTTTTCTTTTCTTTTGGCCTCAACTGTAGGACTTCCCTGAACCTTTTTAGATTTTAAAAGGCTTAAAGCTGGAGATTTCTTGACAATTTTTCGCTTGACCTTCAAAACTTTAGAATTTTTCTTCGTAGATGACTCTGATTTGCTACAGTTTTCAGTAGAATTCCCAGCTTCTAGACTTTCCACTACCTCTTGAGCTTCAGGAACCTCTTTTTCTTTCTTGGCATCTTCTAGTTCATGCTCTGCCTCATTGATCTTCAATAATTTGCCAGCTGGAGATTTCTTTAGAACTTTTCGCTTCACCTTCAAAACTTTCAAATTTTTCTTTAATCCTGGTTTACTGTCATCTACCTTCAATAAGCTTCCCTTTTCATCAGAATTCCCAGAATCACAAGTATTAATGACTTCCTGGACGACAGGAGTCTCAACTTCTTTGCTGTCATCTAATTTTTCTGCAGGGAACTCTACTTTTATTTCGATGTCTTCTTCTACTTCTGAAGACGACACTGCTTCTTTCCTGTTATCTTCATGTTCTGCTGAAGGCTCTACGTCATGCCCATCATCTTCTTGTGCATCAGGAGTCCCTACCACTTCCTTATTCTCACATTTAGATAGAGTAGAATCTGCTTCCAGATTTGAATCTTGTTCCATAATCTACTAACAGGTGTATAGCTAAGTCAAATAAATTGTGGCACCTGATATTTACTCTTCAAAATTTCTTATCTTTAAGAAGAAAACATGACATTGCCCAATTAAAATGACCAGTTTCTTCAGTGCTAACCAAAGAATAAGGATGAACAAGACCAGTGATATCCAGACTTTCAATCGCGTCAAAGAACTAAAGTCTAGATTGTTATATAAATAATACAAATACCTTCAACTGATTTCTCAAGAAAATTAGAAGCTCTCGTAGTGAAATTCATCATAGCCATTCTGAAGCTCAACACTTCTGGGTTCTCTCTATTTTCCAGAAAGTATGGATGAATAGCCATTTGAAGTCTTCTTGGGTTGTTGATTGAAAGACAAGGCTAAAACCCTTTCGAGTTGTGTAGCTATAGCATTGCAGCTAATTTGAAGGGAAAGAAACCAAAGGACTTCCAAAGATAGAAAGACTTCCTTCAATGCTACGGCCCCTTATTATTATTTATTATTATTATTATTATTTTATTTTTGGACGAGTCAGAGCTTTTCTCCCTCATACCCAAAGGCACCCGTGCCTGCCCCAGAACCCGGACCCAAGAGACATCAAGAATTTTTTATATTAAACTGACCCGAAGGTTCGAACTTGAGACCTCTAAGCCGATATAGTATAACTAAGAGATCCAAGCTCTTGCCAATGGGGCTGTGGAGGCACAACGCAACCTCTTATTAAATCTTACATAATAACTTCCCGTGTAATCACAGTGTTTTTTTATTAATCTCAATTGGAAGGATTTTTCAGGTGGAGGCATCCTCTACCCCAGCCCCTAAGTTGTCTACTGTTCTCTTTTTGTTATTAAATTGTCTTACACAATAAATTCTTTTGTAATCACAGTGTTTTTCATTATCTTTCTAATTGATAAATTTGGAAAATTAACGGTTGGAGAATATTTATGTAAACAAGCTGTTTCTTATCAAAAAGAATAAATTAATTGCATTTGATGATGATAGCAGTCCTTCTTACAATATGATCGAGTTCAAACTTCATGGAAACATTTCTAAAGAACATCAATACCAATGTAGCAAATTCAACAATCAACCACCAATATTCTAACCTAGTTAAGGTGTCGAGTTCTCGCTCGAAAATATGAAACTACGTCAAATATAAATTATACTCACACATCACAGACAAAAATCGCGCATGCAAGAAACAAGTTTGTAATGAATTTCCACATACAAACAGCAAAAACACCAAACATCAGAAAATTGCATCTCGATTTCATTTCCCCTCACCCAATTATCGGAATCCTACGAGAATTCAACGGAATCTCATCGAAAGGACAAAAGAATCTCAGCGGATGAGAATAATACCTGGACCTGTAAATCAATGCAAATGGAGAGAGCGGACCGTCAAAGCTAAACCGAAGAAGGAACTACACGGATAGAGCTTCCGATCGGGGCCTCCGTTTCCTTCCTTCTCTAATTTTATGTGACGAAATAGCAAAATGCATTTGAAAAATGACCTCAAGAATAAAATCAAATATATTTAACCCTAATATTCTATGTAAAGACAAAAAACCCCTCCGTCCCAAAAAAAATTATGACTATATTTTAATGAAATTTTGGGTGTGTAATGTAATATCATACCAAAATTATGATGGAAAAAATGAAGCGATTAAAATGTAAATTAAAAATACGTAAAAAAAATCTTTTAAAAGTCTAGAGATCAAAATAAACCTTACATTATTATATTATGTATCTTGCCAATATCATCTATATTATTATTTTTATTCTAAAACTCAAATTAAATTAAAAATTTTAACTTAAATTTTAGATTTATAATATATATAAATAAAGGATAAGAAACATGGTATTAAATATCCATTAAAATGTCCATAGATTCAACATCAATATATAAGTAAATCGACATTTCCATTATACTTCAAAAAAAATATATAAAATATAAAAAATATCAATAAAATTTCACTATACATAATATTAAATATTAATTATTTTTAACATATTTAGAAGTACGAAATATTTATTTGTTAATTTAAATATTTTTCATGATTTTTAATTTCTCTAACATTTTCATTTATAAGAGAAGGATCTTTACAGCATTATTTCTTTTACCACATTCCCAATTCACTCTCCATCGCATCAAATTAAATTCTGGATGAATTGAGAAGTTAAAAATTTTTATTAAGCAATTTGCATCGTGACCAAAAAAAAAAAAAAAAGGCGCCATATATCACCAATAACTACTTATCTAGCTCGCATCAAAAACCTACCCAATGTATATAATAGGCTGATGTTAGAGAAATTAAACTCATTTTTTTTTCTGGAAAGAAAAAAGAAGAAAAAAACTTATCAAAAACAAAATGTTGAGCCAACAACTAAGGTAACTACCTTTGAAGAGGAATAAATAACATCATCAATTTTGACATTCTTATCACTCAACTTCATAGCCCGATTCTTAACCAACTCTAAGCTTCTAATCAACTCAAATTTCATCCATATTGATACAACTTCACATCTGAAAGAGATGCAACAATGATTAAGACCGCCCATTCATGTAGCAATCTTCAAAGTGAACATTCACCTACAAGCTACAAGTATTGCAAGATGAACAACTCCAACTACAGTATGAGACTCAATAACTAATTTAATACCCAATTAAAGATCCTGAGCTACATGGAATTCCAGTTGAAGTTCTCCAGTGAGCTGAAGCTTAAAAATGGGTACCACAGCTACCGATATGAGAAAGATGGACCAGCAAACGAGTACCGGGATGAGACTGGTATGGTGTCCGTATCCACATCTTTGTGATGCGTCTGATTGTAATACGATAGAGCACCAGCAGCATGTCTCATGGGTTCAGTATCAGCAACATAACTTCTTGCTGAATAACGTGGAGGGCCTGGTTCCTCCCTCCTTGATGAAAGCAGATACGGATCCAATTGACGAGTGTAATACGAATCATAAGCATTGCGTTCTGAACCGCTAGCAGATATTGCTCTAGGAGGTGATACTGCAGGTCTAGAATCAATACTGTAAATTGGATAATCTTTTCCATTAAAGTATACATGATCTGCGCGAACTACTTCTCTCTGTGCGTGTGCAGAGACATCATCCCTGTATCTGGGCTCTGGATGTCTCAGTTGATAGTCACTATCGTGATCTCTGTGGTATGCTTCTAAAGAAGGCCGAGGTGTAGGATCTAAATTTCTTCTCTCAGACCGGAGACCATAAGTTCGATACTCCTTTTCGCTTAGGTATAAATCACGGGGAACTTCCTCTCTATGTCTAGGTGCCTCTTCTCGGTGTCGGTCCCTTCCATGAGATGACAAATGGTAATTCCTGACATCATCCTTGGACTTAGAATCCCTAACCTGAGTTTCATTAACTTCCCCATGAACTTTCCTATCCCTAGCTGGTACCTCTGGATGGGACCGAACAGTAGCAGAACTCGAGAGTCCAACCGGCCGGAAAAGATCTGAGAGCTTCCTAACCTGAAAGATGAAACACTTCAATGTCACCACAGAAAAAAAATATAATAGTGCCATTCAAAACACAAGCTAGCAGAAGAAACCTGACATATTTACCTGTTTCACAGTGAGTTCAGCTTTGAACTTGTGCTTCTCATAATAATTCTCTTGGATTGCCTTCTTGAAAACGCTCTCAGGTAGTGGAAAACAATCCTTGTAAACATTGAACCGCACCTGAAATTTCAATTTTGAAATTGAGAACATAATCCTTGGCAGATGAAAAGATAGTTTGTGGAATGGTTTATAATAACTAACGAGGAACCTGTGCAGGGAAAGCCCCATTAAAAGCCTTTGGCTCAAGTTTCATGCCACCTGAAGAGGATGCCTTATAAATCCCATACAGAAGCCTGAGATCAAAATCATAGAGAAAGAGCTTCAACCCAGGTTTGATTGCCAAGACAACATCCTTTTTGCCAGCAGAAACACCCATTACGTTGTAATGAAAACAATCTGGCTTCGTTTTAGCACTGCACATGAAAATCAATCCACCAAGACTTTCTTTATTTCTATCTTCTCTTTGACTCTTTTGCTCGCTATCATTTTCTTTGTTCTTTTGATTTTTCATGGTCTTATCTGAAGGATCCACCTTCTCTATATTTTTCCGGTCCTTGATTCTATTTTTAAACTCAGAATTCTTTTTATGGCAATCAGAGGTCTCTTCACCCTTTTCAGTAGGCTTCTCTTTTGAGATGCTTTTATTAACATTTTCCTTTTGCTTAGGCTTCTCTGTATCTTCAACCTTTTTTCCACTACCTTCCCCCTTTGCCTGCGACACACTATTAGTATTCTCCTGTCCCTTTCTGGCCTGCGCCATCGGACTACTTTGAACCTTATTAGTCTTCATTTGGCTGCTAGCTGGAGATTTCTTTACAATTTTCTTTTTCACCTTCAAAACTTTTTTAATCTTCTTCTTCTTTGACTCTGGTTTGCTGGAATTTTCAGTGAGATTCTGAGCTTCAAGAGTTTCTTTCACTTCTTGGGTTCCAGGAGCCTCTTTTTCCTTTTTGTCATTTTCCTGTTCAGCCTGTGCCTTTTTGGTCCTCAATACACTGCTAGCTGGAGATTTCTTTACGATTTTTCGTTTCACCTTCAAAACTTTTTTCTTTTTACTTGACCCTTCTTCAATGCGCTTTTCAGCAAACTTCCCAGCTTCAGGAGTGTTCCTAACTTCAGTCACAGCTTCTTTCACATCGCCTACTTGTCCAGCAGGAGAGTCCTCTTTCATTATGCTATCTTCTTGCACTGCTGAAGACAGAGCTTCTTTACTCTCTTCCTGTTCTGTCAATAACTCTGCTACATTCCCCTTAGATTTCTGTTCAGCGGATATACCTATTTCCTTCTCCTCACATTCAGGTAGAGTTGAATTTGCTTCCATATTTGAATCTTGCTTCATGATCTACTAACATACACATAATGCCAGAGTCAATGATATTGCAGCATATCATATTTCTTCTTCAAACTCTCTTATCACAAGTAAAAGAGATATGAAGAAATCAAATGAACGGTGTCTTCAATTCAATACAAATCAAGGGTGCAGTAATTCAGATACATCACCAAATATAATGAGCATTGAACACCCTTTGGCTCCTCATAAAAAATTCCTCCCAAAGATAAACTAAAACAATTAAACTTAGAATCATCCCTGTCCATACTTTCAACATAAAACTGCTGTCTAGCATGTTATATAACTAACAGTAACACAATCTCCTGAACGAATTCTTTGAGAAAGTTGTAAACTTCTATAGACTAAAATGGGGCAGGGAGTATTAGAAAAAATATATATGGGGCAGGGCAAATGCCTAATATTTTCCAGGTTCAAGGACTCTTAACTGCAGTTAATACTCACAGTAACACCTTCCCTGAACAAATTTTTTCTGGTTCATTCTAACTCCCCTGGGCCCTTATGTATATTTTTTTCTTCTATTTTATGAAAAATTAGGCTTGAGAGAAATAGAAGAGTTTCCATGTGCTTCTAAGGGGTTGAATACATGGATCAATTGTTCAGACAGCAGATGCTCCTCTTCACCAAGCTAAAAATTGTTTGATATTTTTAGGATGCACTTGGTACTTCCAATGAGATTATTTATTTTGTTCACATTTTTATTTGCAGGTTTTCTTTTAAAAGGTTAGAACTTGCCTCAATCTACAAGGAAGTTACATCTGTTATCATACCATTTCACATTTCACATTGTACGCATACAATTTCCTTAATATGTTAATATTTACTTGAAATTATTTTTTTAATAACCCGGAATCGATATCTCTTTAGCATTTTACTCCTATAACCGGGCGCCTGCACCCGCCCCAAGGCCTAGACTAAGGAGACATAAAGGGTTTTAATATTAAGTTCATGGATAGGTTTCAGATGACCTATCTCGTAAAATTTCAGTAAAATAAACCAGCAAAACAACAAAGTTCCCTAGCTCTTTGAAAGGCTAGGAATTCCCCTACTTGGAAGAATTCCAAGTCCCAAAATAACCAAATAACAGAATTCCCGTACAAAGGTGTACCCCTACGTGAAATCCCTCTTCCCCTGCATGGTCTAGTCTAGTACCATGCCAACCTATTACAAAATCAGGGGGCCCACTACAAAACACACCACCACTACTCCCTCACATCTTTGTCCCCTTTGTCTCGTTTGCCATCCTTTGTCCTTCATGTATAAGTAAATTGAACCAGTGGTCTAAGGCTCTCATCACTCACCCAAAGGTTTGGACACAAGGTCTCATGCCTTGCCTATGGGGCTGCCACTTGAGGGCAAATTCAATTGAAATTATTTTTTTTTTATATATATAAGAAATGAAGGAGAAAAAAGGGAGAACAACCTAAGGGCGAGGACCGAGGAGGCCCTCCCCGAAAAACTACCACATCGCAGATTGCCAATCCCGAGAAAGAGAAGCTAGACTGTAATTACGAAATAATCTCCTAAAAGTAAGGCACCAAGATGCCATAGTAATTTGTACATTTTCACAAAAAATATCAAAAGGTTGAGAGATGTTGAAAACTCTTTGGTTTCTTTCCTTCCATATACTCCAAAAACAAGCTCTCCCAGAGCAACTCCAGAGGACCCTTGCTTTCCCTTTTAGAGTGCCACCGTGAACTATTTCAATCAGCCAATCATCAACCTTCTTAGGAAGACAGCCCGAGAGGCCACACTTTTAGGTTGACACCGAGATTTTATTTGAAATTATGTATTTATAAATTATTAACAACTTTAAGTTGACACCGAGATTTCATTCCCTCTCAAATAGTACATTTGACACGAACAATCTCAACAATTTAATGATGATGGCAACAGGCAATACCAAATTTCTAACGGGCAAGGTTCAAAGGAAAATCTAGCAAAAGTTTGATGAGTATAGTTTTTTTTTTAAATGAAAAATCAAGCTTCATGGAGAAATATGAAAGAAAATAAAGGGTATACAAAAAATCAGCCCCTCAAAAGGAGCCCAGACCCTAACTATGCAAATATGAAAATCAATCCAAAAGAAAAACATTTTAGAACTTGAAGCCCATAAAGAGGAGTTCTTATGATAAAATAAAAGGAGAGCATTCTAAGAGGAATTATTTATAAGGATAACATCAGCAATCACCATCCCCAAAATTTGATTGCAAATGAAAGTGTAGCTGTACTTCGAAGATTATGGAATCAAAAGTCCCCTAGCCCAACAACTTTTCAGCAGAAAATTTTCCGAAGGTTGGAACATGACTTGCTTAAGGTGTTTCAAGAGTTTTTCAAAAAGAGGATTGTTAATAGAAGAACCAACTAGGCTTATATTTGTTTGATTCCAAAAGAAAGACATCTTTGTCAAGATAACCCTTGTTTCTTTTCTTAATAAAAATATAGTGAAATCAAGAAATAAGAGGCTTAGAGGTAATGAATTCAAACTATGGTGTCCACGCTACCTAAAATTTAACATCCAACAAATTCTCTTGGCAACTAAGTTTAGTAGGATTAGGTGGTTGTTGCATGAGATTAAGAAGAGTATTCCTTTTTACCATTGATGTTTCCCAGTCCCGAGATTCTATTATACTTGCAACAAAGACAGTGGACAAATGTTTACAGATGAAGAAATAAGGCCTCGTCTAAAGAAAATAGACCGTAGAAAAACAAAGGCCAAGGACAACAAAAATGCACCTAGAAAACATAACAATATGAAAAAATTACAAAAACAAACGACTCCAATTGTTAAAGTCAAAGAATAAAGGAAAACCAGAAGAGGAAAAAAAAAACCAAGTAAAAGATTCCAAAGCGACTGCGCCGAGGTCCAAGCCAATACACAAGACCCTAAACACCCAGATAAAACTCCATACACTTCTCGAGCAAAATGAACCCAAAAAAAAAAAAAGAATAAAAAGAACTATAAGTTATTGACCTAACTTACCGAGCAACGATGGCTTGTCCTAATCAAAATTACGAAGCCCTAACATCAATTAATGATACCCAATTACAAAACCCCGACATTTTTTCAATAAATGTTAAACTCGTCACCTCGCCCATAGAATGTCCACACCGAAGCAACAAAACACCAAACATAATAGAATTTCAGTTCTATCTCTTTTCCATCACCCTCTGTCGGCAACCATACAGAGTTCAAGATACCTCGGAGACAGAAAAAAGAAGCTAAATAGTACCTGGGAAGCCAAGAAAATGGAGAGCGATCTGAGAAGAGAACCGTAAAAACAATAATCTGGAAATGGTGAACAATCCAGAAAGATAGGGCTTTCGCTTTCCCTCGGTTGTTTTTTGTTTTAAATAAAATCTCTCGGAGAGCAGAAAGAGAAACTGCCCCCAATTCCCTCCTTTATATTATTGTCAATTTTTCTTTTCATTTCATTACATTTACAAATTGTTTTCTTAAAAAAAATCATATTCATTCCTTTTATTTATTTGTTAAATTAATTTTTTATTTTTTAAATATTAATTATATTTAAATTATTTAAATATCAATCTTGATAAGAATATAGATGTCCCAATTTTATGGAAATGTCAAATATTGAAAAAAAAATTATAAGAAATATCTAAATTAATAAATAAGTGTTTCACAATTTTTAGATAACTTAAAAATCTTTATCATCCGTATTTACTCACATTAGCATCGAAAAATATCAATTAAAAGTCAATCCTTAGATATATGCAAATATCAATGCCTAATGGATATTTAATTTCTTACCTCTTACCAACTTGGGAAGAACTCAAAATTTTCCTGAAAGCTCTAATTAGTTAAATAAAACACTTTTCAATAAAGTTGTAACCATTTTGAAGCTTTAGAACATCAAGATTTGAAAACTAAAATTTCATTAAAAATGTAGAATTTTCATGTTATAGGTTGTACAACTTCAAGAAATTAATTGATTCCTGCAAAATTGTAAGTCAAGGTATGTCTAACAGTACTTTTAAAAAATATATATTTTATTAACGAGCGTCAAAATTTATTTAATAAAAAAAATTTATTTAATGTCTGATTATCCACTCTTAAAAATACTTCTCAGTCAAATACTTCGGCCAAAAACATTCTACAAATGCTTCCTCAAAAAATATGTAAATGTTTTTTACCTTTTCCAAAAGTACTTTTATTTTACTTTCAATCGTGATATTGAGTGGAAAGTACTGTTTGCTGTCAAAAATATACTCCTAAGCATAAGTAATCAACGAAATGCTTTTAGCTTTCTCCAAAAGTGCTTTTATTCTACTTCCAGCCGTGATATTGAATGGAAATATCATACTCCCAAGCATATAATTTGCTCTCAATTCAATAATTTGACTTGGCAGTTGATTCGAGCAAGCATTCACAGTCCAATAAGTAATTATTTTCAATATCATAAATTTATAATTGACATGTTTACTCAAGTATGTGTGTGTTAATGAAGAATCACTGAATCAGTGAGCATGTAAAAGCTCATCAAACTTGAAAACAGAGCTTTCTCAGTCTCTCATAAGAACTTCAATTCAAGGGAAAAAAAACATGTGAAAAGTTACCCTGATATTATAACATCTAATAGAAGGTTCAGAAGGCTATTAATCAAGGATCCAAAAGTGTTACTTCAAAAACAATATCTGTGGTCTCACTCCAGATAAATTTTCACATCTATCCCATTATCAATGAGAGACTGAACCACAGCTCTTATTTTCCCTTCAAATTTGTCCCTTTCTCGAGGTGTATAACTAGCGGTATAAACATCAGCTTCTCTAGCCCTCTCAGCTAAAATACTACCAACAGCCAAACAAGCAGGTATGTCTGAACGAGATTTAAGAACAGCTTTAATGTCTTTCGAGTTAGTACCTGCAACTGCAACCTGCTTGCAAGTCACCCTGTGCGTAAGTGATGCCGAAACAAATCGCTTTGAGATGAACACGTCAAGTGTAAATGGCTCCATGTAGGCGACTGTCCGTTGCTTAAATGATATGTGCTTTTTTGGATTTTTGGACTTCTTCCCCTTTTGGTATGTATATGGCCTACTATTATCATCATCTAAGAAGTCCTCTACGCCAAAGAAACTTCTGGGTGCAAAATGAACCTGTGATAAAGCATCGACCAAGAAGAGGTTTTGATAATCTAAGGTTTAGAAAAGTCTGGTTAAATAAATCGGGCAAGTAATTACTCTTATGCAAAATATAGATCAATTTATGCAGTGAACATATATCATCATGCGTTGGAAACTAAAATTTGAACCACAAAACTTCACAGAAACCTCTTACGCAAATAACATCCTCGCATAAGTCAAAAGAGTTACCAATAAATGCAGATTTTTAGGGACAAATGTAAGTGGAAAAAAGGAGGAGGAAGGATTATATTACATTTCAATATATGCTTTTCCTTATAATCGTAGGTGTCCTAGGCCAACTTATATGAACCTTGGCTAATCTCCACATGATAACTATCAAATTCTACAATATTTGCTATCGACAAACACGAAGAATCTTTAAAATTCTAGTCTATCTAGTTTTAAACTCAATATCTAATAAGCTTACAGCTTCACCCTCCAATCCCGTATACAAATCCATGGTGGTTGGTATGATATCCATATCCTAAAACCAATTAACTCGCAGCTCCTGTATAGCTGTCCCTCTTAAATTTCTAAATTCTTTCTGTTCTCCACCCCCCTCCCAAAAAAAATTTAACAGTACGAACCGAGAAAAGAAACCATGATATGTGATCCTCTACTCGTGCAGAAAAACTCACGGCTGAAATAGTTAAAGCCATGAATACTGATTAGCCAAGAGAAGAAACTTTACCTCTCCCTTATGAAAGTCACTTGTTGGCACAAAGAAATAAGGCCTGACCCTGTTTACTTCACATGTGCAAACGACATGTTTCCGCATAATTCCAAGGAAGTGTTTCAACATGTTTTTATTTTTCTACAAGCCAACCACCTTTTTGTACTGAAAGGACCGATTGCAACTCCTATGAGTACCTAAAAGTAAACAAGAGGCGAGGCGAACTATTATATCTCCACAAAAAACGGATTAAACATATTGGAGACGCCTTAAATTTATTACAGAAGAACACGCATGCAGATTCCCTCGATGAGGCATTCTGTCGAACAGTTACCAGGCAATGCATAATTGGGATCCCAGCGAGCATTTCGAAAATTAGAAACGAGTACAAAAAAATGGAAGAATCCATAAATCGAACAAGTGATATGCATTATTGGCAACCCACAAAACTCCATCAGGAAAAAAAAATCATGAATGGAATTAACGAGCAGAAGGAATAATAACGAGAACAGCTGAGAGAGATGGAGAGAGAGATTACCCAGCAGGGTAAAATTGAATGGAACCCAAAAAATGAAGCTAATTTCTGCAATAATTTTATCCTCTTCCACAGCTGAGAGGCGAATTTAAGTTGGGAGAGAAAGAGAAGCTCACTGCACTCGGAATTGGATCAAAAGCCAAGAAAAGTGAGACCAGTATATGAAAGAAGAGGTTTCGCGTTTCGTGATTATAGCCGCATTTCGTTCGCGGTGTCCGTCACCTGAAAGTTTGCCGCCGACGCCGCCTCAGTCGTCGGAAGTTCGCCGCCGTCGCCGGAGGAAATGGAAGGAGTTGCTGAGCGGGGAAGAGTGGTGCGTCCGTGACGGAGGGTTTCAATTTTGAGAAGATTTATTTATGGGGAAAATTTTTAAAAAGGGCAGTAAGGTCTTCTAACAATCTATAAACTAAAAAGTGATCTTAAAATTCTTTACCCATTTAAAATTAGCTTATTTTTGCCAATTTCTATGTTGTTTTATGGTGATATAAAATCTTATAGTGAGAATATAAGTTGTAAGTGACGTTGAAAAACTTCTAACTCAAGTTAATATGTCAACATCATGCCTCGTGAGTCTCCATAGTAAAAATTTATAATTCAATTTGAGATTGAAATCTTCATGCCCAAATACTAAAAAATCCTAAGATTAATACATTCAACTTTAAAACAAACGAGAAAAATGAAATATATCATTTTTTAAATTGATAAATTTTGTTAAATTTTAGAAAGCCTCTTTATAATTTGGTTTGAAACCTTTTTTTCTCTCGTCTTTAAATTTTGAGGTCTTTCAACTTTCAAAAATGACTATTTTAGTTGATATTGTTAAATTAAAGTTAAGTTCGTGTACAACAAAAATAGATGTGGATCAAATTATTATTGCTAGAAATATAGGTATTAGATCCCCTTCTAGTAATTGAGTTTTACTTTAACCTTAAGTCGTCGTTAAAACTGATCTTGATTTCTATCACTTTAGACGATGCGATTGTTCCGCTTCCATAATCGTGCTATTACTAGACCTCGAGTTTTGGTTGAAGTAGAGAGGTGGCATTTGGGTTCAAATCTAACTCCCACCTCAAACCCATAATATATTGACTTCTTGCTTCCAAGACAACTACTTGTAGAATCTCTAATTTCTCCTTTATTGACTTTGGAAGGAGAATAGGGCTATAGTGACACAAGCGTTTTGGTTTCATTTAGACATACTTAGAAAACTAAAAAATTTTAACTTGAAGCTACGAACAAAAGCTAAAAATTCCCACACAGCATTATGCCTCAACGTCCAAAGCTTCATTTCAAATTTTCTTAAAGCTACAGCTCTTCAACATACTTCATTAGAAATAATCATAATAATAAGGATAACAAATCGCATATAAGATGCATATGAATACTTCTTAATCTTTGTGTCTTCGATAATGGCACCATTTAAGGATTAATGTCAAAGATTAAAATAGAAACTCAACTTTTCAACACCTAATAATATAAGAATACAATTTCAACGATATCAAAAGAAAACAATGCACTTCATAATGAAGTAGCAGACTCTGTAAGAGCATTTCATTAAATTAGGATAAAGCAACAATGGTAAGTGAGTGATTTACATCTTTTTTGAAAAATTGCATCCAATCAATTGTGTCGTCGGTCTAAGATTACCCATAAACAGCAAGTCTAATCCTAAATTTTATAAGTAATTTTGACAAAATTCCACCACTTAATACGCCTGAGTGGCAAATATATTGAATCATCATATCCTTCTATTCCTACAACACTTTGGCTCAACCCCATTGTTTATCAGCTGCTCATTCCGCCGCCATTGCCAACCCAAAATTTCACTCAAAGCTGTTTCTTCTTCTCCAGACTAGCCGCTACAAGCCGTTGGCGCTTCCGCCATGCTGGGATTTTACCTGGGAATGCCCATCTCAACAGTCTTTCCCAAGAGTAACAGCACAAGAACATAAGAAGTGCCCAAACCAGAAGCTTATCCCGCAATCCCGCTGGCAACGGAACCAACTTCAGCCAGTCATTCAGATCTCTAAACAAATCGGAGGTAATAACGGTGAAGAAACCGACTGAAGCCAAGAGGGCATATAAAAATGGTTTGTTTTCGGATACACTCTGGTTGAAGGGATGACCCATGTAGTTTACAGCAAAGGTAGCCACCTGAAGCATCATGCTTACCATGTATGAAACCGTGTTTACTAAGTTGGGATGAAAATCTGAGTCTGGCTCTATGCATTCATCAGGCATGTGTTTTTCGGCTTCTTTCACTGAAGAAATCAAGAAAAATAAGTGGATTGCAAATTGGCCTAGCAGAGAAATAAGAACATAGGAGCAGAAGACGTTAGGATGGGGCCGTTCAGCTGAAAGCGTCGGAAGGGGACGCGCATGTGAGATGAAGAGAAAAAAGGCTGCTGTGAATACTCCACTGATAGTCGCCTGAACATCACCAAGCTTTACACCATCCAAATACATAACACTCAGTACATAGGCAGTAGCGAGGCAGTTGAGACCGAGTATTTTAAACATCTGAAGAGTTGTCACTAGAGTACTTCGACCTTGGCGAATAATGTCGGTAGTAGGAGCAACAGATGCATGTTTTGCTGTGAATGGTGATGCCATGGATGCATCCCCAAGCTTGACAATAGGGGCAGAGCGCCCATCGCCTTCTTCATTTAACTCATCCATCAGTTTCTTTAGCTTCTGCCTTTGCATCTCTGCAGGTGTCCTATGACGGTTATTAGCTTGCTCAGCAGCAGAATCCATTTTTGCACCAACTTTGCTTTTCGAAGAACCTTCTCCACTTACAAGTGCTTTTCCTGACGATTCTGATGAAACCTTTGATTTCTTTGACTTTGCAGACCGTGCAGCCTCATCCTTTGATGCCTCTGAAGAAGAGTTACCACTTTGAGGAGGAGGGGCTGCGTTTAGGAGAGCAATTCCTACATGGGCCTGATAAACAAGGAAATAATGAGTGCTATATAGGAAAGCATTCATCTCTAATATCCAAGCTTAATTTCAAGCACAAAATCTATCATCTGCTCCACCTTAAAATTGTTAATGAAATAACATATAAATTAATAGACGTTTTAAGACACAACCTGCTTCAAAGCTCCAACATCGTTGGTTCCATCCCCACACATCAAGGTCATTCTTCCAACTGTTTTGAAAGTGGTCAATATGAGTTCCTTTTGCTCTGGAGCAACTCTTGCAAAAACCTGATAGAACATCTCAAATGTATGGCATCAAGATGCTATTGTTGTGAAAACCAATAATCTTTCAAAAGAGAGAGACCCAGAACCTTAACGTATGGAATAACATCCAGCACAGTGGAGGTGCGTTGAAGCATTCCGATGCAGTCTCCTCCAATACACAGATCATATGTCTCCGATAAATTTCCCACCTCTTTCTCTCTGAAATAAAGAGGAATGCGTGAAATATATATGAGAACAAAGAAATCAAGTAAATATGAATGCTAACACAACATATCCAGGGAAGAAATGTATATCCGCATGGTGAGAAGCAAGGGAAAAAAAGAAGCAGAAACAAAATGAAAACTTTAAATAATAATAACATTTACCTGTAGGGAACTGTCTGTAACTCATCTGGGGAGAGCCACTCATATTCCTCAGTTCCCTTCTTTGGACTGAGAATTAAAATCTGCTTTGAGGTAATGTGAACTTGGCTAGCTACGTGGCATGCTGTTAAAGCTTGGTCACCAGTAATCATTACCTAATACAACATAAAAACACGTAGAGATAATCAGAAATGTAAACTGAAGCAGATCGAAGATCGGATAATTTTGCATCATTTATTTTCAACTAAGAAACGTTGGAAGAAAAAAAAAAAAAAACTGTAAAGAGCGAGAGGTAGGGTTGCAAATATGGGATACGAATTACTATGTAAGTAAGCAGCATCCTGTAAAAGACATAACAAGGCCTACAAGATGTCTTGACAATCCGATCATGTTTGCAGTTGCATGATATAACATAGGAGATCAGAGGTAAAATAGAGGTCTCAAGAACCAAAGACAAATCCTTTCGGCCATGGTTAGAATCCAGATGAATATTAAAAATTTAATAGATGCGGACTTGCAAACTGGAGTTGATTCTAGATACCATCAAATCAATTGAGATGTAAGTATGCTTAAGATTGATGGTATGCTTAAGATGGCTCTGTCATAAATTGCCGTGGGTTAACCTTTAGAGTCTATTTTCCAAAATTTATAATTTTCAGAGGTCCAGAATGTCTTGCTCATCCAGTTAGATGTTTGGTCCAGAAAAATCTGGTGTCAGAGATCCACAATTTTGAATTTCAAAAAATACCATAGTCAGATATTATCACTTTAGAGTACAAAAAATTAAGCACGAATGTTGGCTTTACAACAGAATGAATCCACTTCATAATACCCTGGTACTGATTAGTTCGTATTCCAGCGTCTCATCATAAACACAATGCGCAAAAGGGAAAGAAGATTAGTTTCTTACTAAATTGACAATGAAGCTCTTAAATGTCACTGATATAGTAAACCAATAAGTATTTTCTATTAATCACGAATAATGACCAATAATTAGGCTGAATAAACTGAATTTGAATCTGCAATAATTAGGCTGAATAAACTATACCAAGTCATGGGATGATCCTTTAAGCTCAGATAATATTGTAGCTGAATCTGGTCTAATTGGACAATTAAACACCTGGAATGTAATTGATTAACATGAAACATTAGAAAATAAATAAGGATGAAAAAAGAACAAAAAAATAAATCTCATGGCAAGCTGAATATTTTGTGAAATTGGGGCAATCAATAATGGACGGGGGGAAGTACGAGTGACTTTCATAATGATTTAACAAGAAGAAATATAATCAGATGCTAAAAATGAAAATAAGAGATATAAAGTTCCTGGTTACCGCAAAACCAGCAAATGTAAGGTCACTCTCCACTAAATCCCTATCCAGGCCTCTAGCTTCACTAACCTTCAATATAGGAAAGAAATATAAACTAGCCAGGTAAATGAAGCATTCGTATAATGAAATATAACTTTGTGTACATTCAATTTTGAATAGTAAATAATATTGCGAAGAAGACAATGACAATGATATAACGAACATGGACACATAACATGACAAAATACAGACAAGGAGGCATGCCATTCTTTAAAAATTTAGTCATGGACACGTCCAAAAATATAAATATTTTTATATACTTCTATACCTATTAATACTTCAAAGAATTAAAGACGCCAACTTCCATCCTCATCCATTCAATTAAGCAAATTTAAATATTGTTATATAAATTGTTTTTCTTCTTGGACATAATATTTCTTAACAACAAAACAAGATCAACTTCCCTCAAAATATACATCTTTACAAAGGAAAAGAACACAAAAAACTTGCATCCGTACTCTGAAAAATTGCTTCTACAACACAGATTTATCAAAAGAGATCTATCTAGTCTCTTTCCTTTTTTTTGTTCAGTTCCAGTAGATATTCATCCTTCTATTCATTTACATCTTAGTTCCTTGAGCAAATGAGTTTAGACTTGAAAAATAAATAAATAAATAAAAATCTATTATCATTTTCTAATATTTAAAAAAATAGTTTTCTTCATTCTCTGTTAAATGTGTCACCCCGTGTTCTTAGAGATTTCAAATCATATGCCCAGCATGTCTCCAGTGCATGTCCAAAAATGACCATGTCAGACAACAGTACTTCGCTCAAAATAGAATATCAATGCTTCCTAGACAAAAATGACAATAAAGTCCATGATAATGACGATTATGACAATCGCAGTGTTAGAAATAACCATAACAACAATGAAATTGTCAACTGTGACAACAATAGGGACTACTTTAATGGCAATGATGATGATAGTGAAAACAAACCGTCCAAAAAATAATGTACAATCCTTGTATTTATATAAAGATGTGGTGGGAAGGGGGGAATATCTTACTGTCATATCTGGAAGTGACTTGAAAGCAAGAGCAAGGACACGGGAACCTTGTCGTGTATATTTCTTATATGTCTCAACATAAAATGTAGGTACATCAGTGAGCCTCTCCTGGATAGTTTCAGGGGCACCCTGAAATGACAATGACCAAGTTTATTTAAGGGGGGGAAAACCAATCAAAAAGAAAGGAGGTTGAAGTAAACTCCAATAGCTTAAAGAAACAATTATTTGCACGGCAATTACACAAACTAGATATATAACACCTGCTCTTGAAACTAAATACTAATATTCATGCCCAATGTGTCCTAGATGTGTCCCTATCATGTCCTAAAATGTCTGAGACTAGATAACAGTAATATCAAATGACTATCGTTTCATCATCGTGTTCCTCAAATTACATTTTGGATGCAAATATATGGACATATTGTACAAGTTACGTGTACAACATCAAGAATCTACTAAAAATAGCATTCGTACTTCATGTAAGTTAAAATTATGAAAAAAAGACTTCACGTAATTTTCCACCAAAACCCATTCCAACAAAGTAAATTGTACTCCACACCTGTTCATTCATGCATCTTATTGAACTTTGACAAGTGGCTTTCTTTAGAATTTATGGCACAAGAGAAATCAGAAAGGTTTAGGGGCTCGGGAAGACTAGATGGAGGTTTGGGGTGCAAGCATTCTGTTGCTTCTCTCTAAGCGTTCCGAGAGTTTTGTAATTATTCTTTTATATTTAATTCTTAACAACTAGAGTAATTTATTGTAATTGTCCTCTCTTTGTTTTGCGCAAGAGAAGACTAATAATTTAATTAATGCAATGAATATACAAAAAGAGAGAAGAACCTCCAATAACAAAAAATCCCCTCCAATTAAATAATTATGAAAAAACTTATCCAGCTTAGACCAAGTAGTTTCTTTAT